CGAGGATCGACCCGCTCGCCTGATTTGTCTGGATACACCCAGTCGTATTGCCAAGGTGCGAACCCTCAGCGTATGGGCCGCGTGGCGCCCGACGAAGTGGCGGCCCCGGCGCTTGCCTCGATTGGTTTCTCTAACATATATATCGATATTCCGCGGTCCGCGTGATATGTTGTGCAGCTTGTGCAGGGATCTTTCGGTTGAGAGGCGCTAGGTGGGTTCGGCGACTAGCGCCGGGGTCGGCACATGTAGCTGTCCTTTGTTACCCAAAAAAAGCTCTATCCGCCTGCGGTTCTCTTTGTCTACTCTCCATCTCTCAGATGACGGACTACTCATGCGTCCACGGAGCACGGTTGCAGCTTGCACTTGCAGCATCTCATGCACAACGTGCTGAATTGCCCCGGGGGGCGCCGGGCCCCTAGCGGGCCCCCCTGACAAATGCCTTGCAGGCGGAGGGCGCGAACATGCTCTGCATGTAGTGCATAATCTGCATCTCGGCTGCGGGCAGCTGCGACGGCTGCAGGATGGCGCCCTGCTGCCCTGCCTGTATCACCATTGCCTGACCCGCGGGGGCGGCGCATCCGACGATGTCAATCGAGCCAATGACGACGCCCGTGGTGACGGGCAGTTGCCCTGGCGGCGCCGCTGGCCATACGGCCGCCCTCAGCGCCACCGGCCTGCAGATGCTGCCTGAGGCCAGCGCTGGGGAAAGCTCCGGCACGGGTACCAGGCGGGCCATTAGGCACGCATCGCTGGGAGGGGGCTCATATGTGGCCCACTGTGGTCTGTGCCACACCCAAGTAACGCGACTCCACAGCAACAAGCGTCATTCGTTCAGCGCTTCCTCGGAGGACGGGGACGGGTTGGTAGCGCGAATGGGCTTCGTGGGACTGGTACTCGGGGGTATTCTTAAAAAGAATTCTGATGCGGAGATAGGATGCCCCGAACCAGCCGTAATCAAAACCCAGCCATTGTCATAATCCAGCAGTTCGCTCGGAGGTTAGTAGCCATGTACCGAGCCGCTGCTTTGCGGCTCAGACGTCAGAGGCTTGACCAACCCCCACGAGTCGCAAGAAATGTCAGACAGAGATTTGAGCGTCGCGCAGAGCGCGATGAGTTTCATGGGCCGAACTTGGCTGGCTCTTTCAACAGGTTCCCTGGTAGAGGTGACCTTTATTGGCGCAATGACAACATGGTTAATAGAGGTTTTGGGCCAAGTCGGGAAGGGGAGTGGAATTATGTGCAATTCAGGCCGAATGGGCGAGGACTCCGCCAAGAGGGCGGTTTTCTAAGGGCAAGTATCGACCCTGAAGCCGGGTATGAAGAAGACCAAGTCCGTTTCGGCAATCCACTCGTGTACAGTAATAATGGGTAACCGTACGCGGGGGTGGGACTAAGTCTAAGACTTAGCTGCCAGCCACCGAAGCAGCAGCTCGTGCTCAAACGCCTCCTTCTGCGCGCGCGCCATTTCTCAGTCGCACGGTACTTCTCTCTGCACGCTTTGCGACACGCATCACACTGATTACGGTAGCTGAGGAAGTTCTCCCCAGGTTGGGTCTTGCCGCACTTAGTGCACGTCTTAACTGCAGTGCCGTCCATTTCCTATACACATCAGACCCCCTTGAGATTTGATTGAGAACTTGTTGAGCTCGCGAGCTATCACGTGTGTTTCGTCGATCGGCCGTCCCTATAAGTAATCTCAATGAGAATGGGGTGTGAATCTCAGGTCCACAGCAATTATGCGCGCCTTTTTTTCACGACGTGAGTTTTTAAATCTCAGACTGCAATTGGGACCTGCCTCTTAAATCGCGATTTTTTCGAGCTCAGACGGCAGCGAGCGACTTTTGCCTGTAGACGTGTAACTCGGCCTCTGGCCGCCGACAGCGCCTAACTCGGGGTCTGGGGCGGAGCCCCAGCCTGGGGTCTGGGGCTGGCAGCCCCAGCGGGGTGCGGGGCAGAGCCCCGCGAGGAAAATTTTGCATTTTTACCAAAAAACCGACCAAAAATAGGCTGTGAGCTGCTGCCCAAGAGCCCCCAAACAAGAGCGCAATGTATACAAATCTCGTACAATAGTACACACACACACACACACACACACACACACGATTCATACTCATGCAGTGTGTACAGATCACTTCCGTCGCTGACGCTTCGACATGGCCGCTGGCTTGGCTGCTGGCTTGCGCTGTGCGGACCCCTTGGCTGCCGGCTTGGCCCCCCGCCCTGCCCGCGCCGGTGCTGGCGCATGCAATGATGGGCCATCGTCATCACTGCTGTCTGGCGGGCGCGTCGGCGGTGCTCGAGGCGGTGCAGCCTTACGCTCCCTGCACGCTGCGCGGGTGCAGGTGCGGGTGCGGGTGCGGGTGCGGGTGCGGGTGCGGGCGCCTCGCCGTCCTCGTCCTCGTCCTCGTCCTCAGACTCGTCGCACGAGGTGTCCTCCATGTAGCCCGCACGCTCCTCCTGGGGCGTGGGGAGGGTGAGGGTCCGGTCGGATGCGAAGAGCAGGGCGGGAGAGGGTGAGGCGTACCAAAGAGGGCCGCCGTTGAGCGCGATGTCGGGCGTTTGCAGCACCTCGAGCCAAAACTCAAAGTTGCGGCCGCCGAGAGCGCCCCGCGTCACCGAGCGTCGTGCTCGAAAGCCGAGCCGCAGCTGCAGCTCTTCCGACCGGTCGCCGCCCGGCTGCGCGATGAGCCACCGCGCGTCGTAGCGCCTGCTCCTCCTGCTCGTGATCTGATGAATGCTCGGCATCGCTCAGCGCTTGCTCCATCGGGACGTCAGCCTCTGCCGCCGCCGCGGCAGCCTCGGGCTGCGGACGGGTCCGCAGCTCCGCCGACCTCCTCGGTGGGAGGGTCGGCAGCGGGCGGGTCGGCGGCGCCGTCGGCAGCGGCGTCCACTGGAGCACCGCCCGTGCGCACACCAAAGTGGGTTAGGAAGGCGTTCTTGGCGGCACGTATCCACCCCTTCGGCTTGGGGCCGCCTGCACCGCGTCCATGGAGCATTGGCAATGCCGCGCTGCGCCTACGAATGTTTCGGGAACGCCGCCCATGGGAACGGCGCTCTCGGCAGAGCTTTCGTGGCGGGGAGACGGGTGCAGGGAGGTGCAGGGAGCGCTCTCCCGGCTCACCGGGGGGGGAGATGGCGATTTTTTTTACATGGGTCGGGAGGGCAGCTCACGTCACGGGGCGCACCTTGAGTCGCGAGGGCGATGCCGCGACGGTTACCCGACGTCGGACGGACGTGCCACAGTGGTACCAGGGTGCAGGCATGAATGGGTCTGACCTCGAAAAAAATCGCGATTTAACATCCGACCTGCCCACTCTGCTTGTGGTCCTGCCCTGCCGCATACTGCCGCACAACTGCCCTGCCCTGCCCTGCCCGATCCCCTACCTGCCCCGGGTGTGAAACCCACACTGCCCTGCCCTGCCCTGCCCACACTGCCGAGGTGTGAATACCTGCCGCTCCCGAGGTCTCGGAGAAACTTCTCCCATACGTATATGGGGCGTATGGGAGAGACGGCGGTTTTGTTGTTTTCTATCCGCTAATGAAAGAAAGAAAGAAAACGGAGAACCCAAGGGAGGGATGGGAGGACGGCAAGCGCCACCCACAGGGATTTCTCGCGTAAAAAGAATTGAGCAACTAGGGCCCGACAAGGGCGCGGACGGCGCGGACTGGCACACACTCGGCCTCACAAAACGAGGCAGCACGCGTTCGTCCGGCCGAGGCTAGCCTTGAGCATGCTCACGCGCTGCACCGCCCGCGGCCTCCCCTCCGCCCGCAGCCTCTCAGCGGTCGCAGAGAGACGAAGAGCAGCTGAGTTCCTCCAGCTGTTTGACGGCGACGCGCCGGACGGCGGCGGCTCCTCCACATATACCTACATCCT